ACAGATATATTTATGCATGTGGTTTTCATAAAATTCCTGTAACGTAAATGCACATAACATATATAAACAGTGATTATAAAAAATAAGGGGTTATGCACCGGGGCTTGCCTTGGGCAGGCACGGTCTGAGTCAGTTAGTGGCGGCTCCGGGACCTCCTCCTGCACGAGAATCTTCTCCTCGTACTCCTCGACGATCTCCTCAAACTCGCGATCGCTGGTGGTCACTATCTCCACCAAGTCGTTCTCTACATACATGCGATGATGATGCAACACTTAGTATTTATGCAACAACAACTCTTAAAATAAGAATATGTATACTAACAACTAAACTAGCTCTAATGACTAAGGTACTAAGCTAACTATCATTTTCATCAAGCAAGGTGTTGGATTCAACTAACAAACACCTAGCTTTACAAATTAAGGATATATCTTTATTTCTACTAATGATTTAATGTATATTTGAAACAAAGAGCATTTAACTACCCTAATGTTTAGTCTATTATAAGGCTACAAAAATTACAGTGAGCACATAATAATACAATGAAGCTACCATAAAAATGTCAGGACTAAAGTTATCACCAATTTACCACAAAATTTTTCTACAATATTTAACCTAATAATATTGAGCGCTCTCAAATGATTTAATAGCTCCTGGTATCAACATGTATATATATATATATATGAACTAAATACACTAACAGATAGAACACAATTTTAAGAACCTAACAAAATTTGTTTCACAATTTTTGGACACCTACATGATTTTATATAATTTAACAAAGATCAGCTCAAAAATTAAATTAGAAAACTATTTCTAATTCTTTAGGAAAAGAAAAACAAAATCTCCCGCTCAGCCCACACTCGTGGCCCGCGCGCAGCGGCCTATAGGCGTGGCCCATGCGAGGCCGCCCCGCCCGCGAAACAGCCCGTGGCGGGGGAATCCCACGCGCGCTGGCGCTTTTGCAAAATAGATCTCGCACTTCTCCCAAATTACAACTAAGTACTAACACTATTTTCCCCTCCCTCAAACCTTTTCACTTAACCCCCTAGCTTTCCTAGAATTCTCCCGCGCACACCCCCGGCGACCTAATGCATGGCGGCGCGGCGGTCAGTGGCACAGCGCGGCTGCGCCGGCCACCTGGGACCTATGACAGACCACCTAACGGGCCGGTCACCATCTCCGACCCAAGCGGCGGTGCGGGGTGACACGACTGGCTGGGAAAGGCTGCAGCGGCACGCGGCCATCCGCGACGGCGACGCTACTGTTCCGATGAGCTGGGGTAGCTACAGGCCTAATTGGTTAGCGCGTGAGCATCAAGAGGCTACTATGGACCAGGTCGAGATAACGGTTGTGACGGAGGATGACGGATGAAGGCTGGCCACGTGCGGCCGAGCCATGCGGCGGCGCACCGCGGTGGCACAGTCGCGTCAGCGACGACAGGAAGGCGGTAGCGGTTCCGATAACGTGCGCAAGGTGGAGAGGGAGGTGAGGCAAAGCTGGTGGTGCAAGTGAATTGGCTCGGGAGGGACGGTAGAAGGGCCACACACATCCACGGTCGGACGCGGCCTTATCGGCACAGCGACAGGAGAAACTCCAAATTAGAGCTTGGCCTTGCACGGTTCAAGACTGGGTAGGGTCGGGCAACGAGAGGACGTGATGTTGAAACCGTGGATGAACTAAATTGAATGGAGGTGATCGTTCGCTGGGTAATTTGGTGGCGTGGCTCGTGGCGGTAGCAGAGGGAGAAAGAGAGAGACGGGGCGCGGCAGGTGGGCTCGGCTCGTCCTCGCCTTGGTGGGATACGGTCGGCGTGATCGTGGAGGCCCACGCGCAGGCGCTAGCAAACAGGCACGCGTGTTTGCCACCGGCGTGGCCCGCACGGCGTAGTGCCATCAATGACAAGGCGACAACGAGCCCGGCCATGTGCGTGCGGCAGAGGCGGCATCGCACTGGGCCGGCAGCGGCGCAGAGATACAGAGGGAGGCACGGACATGACGACGAGGCGACGGCACCGGTAGCGGCTGCGTCGCGGCGTGGGGCGGTCGACAGTGCGGCAGCGTGGCGGGGCCAGCGGCGGCACCGCCCGGTTGCGCAAGCAGCAGAAGCGGCTCCACGCGCCAGGAGCCAGCGGTGGCCAGGCCATAGCCAGGCTAGAGCAGCCGTGGCCGGACACGCGTGGTACCGCGCGTGCACGCGAGACAGCTAGCGTGGCGACGCCGAGCGCCCGAGCGTGGTGACCGCGCCCACGAGGCCAATCAGCCCGAGACCGTGTCGTGCACGAATTTTAAAGCGCCAATAAAAACTAGACGGTTGCGTCTGGACCTTAACCATCTTCACCATACTCAAGATGACATATGAGATTACCAAATCGAGCTATAACACTACACCACTCCTTAATCCAATCTCTCAAAATAATTTGCTAAACATAGTAATGTCTAGCTAATGACAACCTTAGAAATTTTCTAGATTTTTGAGCTAAACTTGATTTCAATTTGTAATTTATAGGCTAGTAGAAATATTAGCTAGTAATATCATTTTTCGACAGCAAGTATTTCACTGTCATCTACAAAGTTTGTACTTCAACCTTTATTTAAGTATCATACACATGTTCTATAGTATTTTTGCTTAATAAAAATTGGTTTTCAACCCTACTTGATATATATGAGCTATTGAATCAACTTTTATTTAGCATTTTTATTGATCATTTTAAGTTACAAGAAATTTATTTACACATTCTATCACATGCATTAATACATAAACATGATGCTCATGATATGTTTTAGTAAATGATTTAGAGTGTAACACCGAGGATGTTACAACTACGTCACCGGTACGGTTGGGATAAGTATTTTCATCTTGGCTTGGGAGTTTTTCCCTTTCCTTGCTTGAGCTCTACTTACCACACCCATGCTTTAGTTTGTTTGATATTATCCACTTCTGATAGAGCGACATCTATTTCTACAGTTGTTGCTAAAGCTGCACACACATATAACACTGGGTGCAGCTGCAGCTGCAGCTGCAGCCGAAACAACTGATTTGAACAGGTCCTTTATTTGTGTGCCTTCTAACTTTCCTAGAGTAGCATAGGTTAGATAATACTCCCTCCGTCCAAAAATAAGTGATGTTTTAAGTTTGTCCTCAAACCATTTCAAGTTTGACTAAATTTATACAAAAAAGTACTAATCTTTATAATACCAATAAATATTATTAGATTTATCATGAAATATATTTTCATATTCTATCTATTTGGTGTCATAAATATTGATGTCCTCTCCTACAAATTTGGTCAAACTTAAAATAGTTTGACTTAGGACAAAACTAAAACATTACTTATTTTGAGACGGAGGGATTATGATTGACCGTGGGGTGCAAAACTCTCTGTGGATGGGTTAGTAGAAACACCATATGACTCACTAGGTGCACATATTACTAGTTATAGGTTGTTTTATTTATATATTGGAGAATCAAGTTTGAGCCCTAGGTTAAAAATTTATGGGTGACCCAATACACCCTCTCTCTCTCCAGGTTTTAGGTCACATCCTCCTAGGCCAGGTTCCCTAATATTATATAAGGGGGTGTTTGGTTCTTTAGTCGCTCCTAAAATTTATGTCACATCAAATGTTTAGAGGTTAATAAGGAGTATTAAATATAAATTAATTACAAAACCAATTACATAGATGGAGGCTAATTTCCGAGACGAATTTTTTAAGCCTAATTAATCTATCATTAGCACATGTTTACTGTAGCGCCACGTTGTCAAATCATGGACTAATTAGGCTTAAAAGATTCGTCTCGTAAATTAGTCGCAAGTTGTGCAATTAGTTTTGTAATTAGTCTATATTTAATACACCATGCATGTGTCCAAACATTCGATGTGACAGAAATTTTAGGAGGAGGGGAAGGAACCAAACAGGCCCTAAATCCAACAATTTCATAGTTGTAGGTTCTCCAAAACAAGGTGAATCTTTGGCCAGAAGATCTTGCCAAAAAGATCAAGGTCTCACCATCAATTTCTCAAATTTGACCAAAGAACACAAAGATGATTTTTTAGGAAAAAAACACAAACACTAGGTGCTTGGCAAGGATCAGCCTAAAGATGTTCAAATATGTCCTAGCGTGATTTGTCCTAAAAAAACTTTTAGCAAAATTGCAACCAAATAGCAAGGATGAACATTCATTAAGATGGGGCTATAAAAAATCCTAAAAATGAGAGAGAAAACCTCAAGACTTGAGAGAGTAAGAACAATAAGGACACAGTTTCGAGAATCTAGTTAGAGCTAGCTAAATGGTAACATGAAGTGATTCTAATTCAGCACAGAAACGTTTATTAAAAGAACTTGGCTCTGAAAGGTTCGTAGAAGAATTTGGGTCCCTATCAAACGAAACCTACCTCAAAACAAATTAAACTCAACCGAAAGCTTCTCGACTTACCCCGGCAATCACTCGTCTTATATCTAGACAAAATGGCACATGTCGACCTGCTCTTCTCACACAATCGAAATGCCATAAATTTATTTTGCTTTTAATGTAGTATTTGAATAATGTATTATCAAAGCGGTGCCTTGGTGAGCATGCTGCTGCTCTCTGAAGCGACAGCTAGGCGCAGCTCTGACTCTGAGAAGACGATGATCACGGCCATGGTCCTGCCGCCTGCCTAACGACTCGAGATAAGCAAAGCAAGGCAGTGGTTGGACGTTGGAGGCTACGGCCACCGTATTAACCTCCTCCCACTACAATACCCCGGGCAGGGCAGGCAGCCATGTGGTGCTGATGCGTACATGTGTGTGTGTATATATATCTATAGATACCCAGCCCAAGCAAGCAGAAGCAGCTTACGACCCACGGCGCGTACTGGCAGTCGCAGTCCCAGCTTCTATATAACGCCACACACCTGCTGCCAAGCTAGCTGATCCAGACACTGTGCGTAGTGCGTGTGTGCTCTCTCTCTGTCACTTATTGTGAGCTACCGACCCACCGGCGCCGTTCCATCCGGCCCCGCCATGGAGCTGCTGCCCCTGCTCACCGTGCTGCTGCTGGCGCACGCCGTGGTGTACCTGGCGTGGCAGGCCGTGTCGCGCCGCCGCCGCGCGTGCTGCTACCTGCTGGACTACGCGTGCCACAAGCCCTCCGACGACCGCAAGGTCACCACCGAGATGGCCGGCGACGTCATCGAGCGCAACAAGCGGCTAGGCCTCTCCGAGTACCGCTTCCTCCTCAAGGTCATCGTCAACTCCGGCATCGGCGAGCACACCTACTGCCCGCGCAACGTGCTGCAGGGCCGGGAGGAGTCCCCGACCCACGACGACGCGCTGGAGGAGATGGACAACTTCTTCGCCGACGCCGTGGCCGGGGTGCTCGCCAAGACGGGCGTCCGCGCGCGCGACGTCGACCTGGTCGTCCTCAACGTGGGCTCCTTCTCCCCGGCGCCGTCGCTGGTGTCCAGGCTCGTCCACCGCTTCGGCATGCGGGAGGACGTCATGGCGTACAACCTCTCCGGGATGGGCTGCAGCGCGGGGCTCATCGCCGTCGACCTCGCCCGGAACGTGATGCTCACGCGGCCGCGCACAACCATGGCGCTCGTCGTCACCTCCGAGTCGTGCGCGCCCAACTGGTACGTCGGCACCGACAAGTCCATGATGCTCGGCAACTGCCTCTTCCGCTGCGGTGGCGCCGCGGCGCTGCTCACCAACGACCCGGCGTTCCGCGGCCGAGCCAAGATGGAGCTGCGCTGCCTCGTGCGCGCCAACATAGGCGCGCACGACGACGCGCACGCCGCCGCCGTGCACCGCGAGGACGCCGACGGCCGCCTCGGCGTCAGCCTCAGCAAGGCGCTGCCCAAGGCCGCCGTGCGCGCCTTCACCGAGAACCTGCAGCGCCTGGCCCCGCGCATCCTCCCCGCCCGCGAGCTAGCGCGCTTCGCGTCCCGCCTCCTGCTCCGCAAGCTCCTGCTGGCCCCCCGCAAGCACACAGCCGCCGGCAACAAGGCAGAGGGCCCTGCCAGCAGCCCCAAGATCGACTTCAAGACCGGCGTCGACCACTTCTGCCTCCACCCCGGCGGGACGGCGGTGATCGAGGCCGTGAGGAAGAGCCTGGGCCTCACCGCCCACGACGTGGAGCCGGCGCGGATGACGCTGCACCGGTGGGGGAACACGTCGGCGAGCAGCCTCTGGTACGTGCTCTCCTACATGGAGGCGAAGCGGCGGCTCAAGCGCGGTGACAGGGTGCTCATGGCCACCTTCGGCTCCGGCTTCAAGTGCAACAGCTGCTACTGGGAGGTGACCAGGGACCTCGCCGACGCCGGCGCGTGGGAGGACTGCATCGACAAGTACCCGCCGGAGACACTGGTCAACCCCTACATGGACAAGTTCGGCTGGGTCAACGACGTCCAGGGCCAGGGGAGCGGCTTCCTATTTTAATCCATTATTTAATTATTATTAATTGACGCCACCAATTATCATTGATCCGATCAATTTTCAGAATGAAAACTTAAAATTTCTCAGTTATAAATACTTTTGCAACGAGACAGGGAAAGATACGTAGCTAAGATTGTTATTGGTTATATAAAATGGACAAGTGTACGTATATATGAAGGGAATATATACAAATGGAGATGGTGACTGTAATTCTTTTCTGTCTGGTATAAGTATATACTTGTAAATGTTTAGGCCGGGGTCGCAGCATGCATGTGTGCTCTAGAGCCTGTATAGTGCAAACCTATTCGTTTACATGTAGTATGGTCTGCAAAGAAGGGATTTTTTGAATAGTAGGGCATGCATGAAAAAAAGATACAAAGTGTGGTGTGGTGTGGCAGGGAACATTATTTGTATGAGTGTGGGTTTGTATACCAAGTACTACTAGCATATATGCATGCGGCTTTTAACCTTTGCAGAAACATATACACACCTTGTTTAAGCACAAGCTTCTGAGATGTATGTCCTGCCAAGTCAATATAATGTTTAGTCCACGTTTTAGAGAGAGCAAAAGAAAGCTAGGAAAAAAGCAGCTTGCTATATAATAGTACTGTAAGTATAAATATAAGCACCATGTTCGCCTGATCATATTAGTCATATTTATCAACTATGATATAGTGTTTTTCTCTCACAACAAAATAATATTAGCCAGTTTATAAGCTGCAGAAACGATCATACGAACAGTGTGTGTTTGGTACCGCGATCGACGGCTGCACGGAGCCAGACGGAAACCGCGGGGATTAGTGCCTTGCAGGCCCATCCGAGTGAGTCTGCACGGAGGCAACGGTGCAGAAAGGCTGCGTCCAATTTTTTCCCCTTGCGTGTGGTCGCCAGAGTCGCCGACACCGGTAGGGTGTTTGGCGTGACTGTAGCAACCGAACAGCCAAGAATCCGATTATATATAAGCGGACACCGGTTCCAAACACAGGCTCATCATCGTCATTGGCAAAACAGAGGTAACAAAGGCTTGTATTGCGTTTGTGCTGAAGTTTTTGTTTCGTTTTAGTGCTGGACTGTACATTTACTTGCCGAAAGAAAAATATCACACTCACCCGAATCAAACAAATTAAACACCACCCTGCTACTCCTTGCTTCTTTCCGTCTTGTTTGTTTAGGTTATAAACTGTATTTTTCAACTAATGAATAATATTTTTTCTCATAATAAATTAATCAATAATGTTTTTAGTCATGAGGGACCAGCAACGTTTCAAACAAACATCTGCGTTGCGTTGGTGCATGCAATGCAATGGCGATCAGAGAAAGCTGGGTCACACATTTTGAGGTACAGCTAAGGCTGAGGAACATGGATCTGAACCAGGACGTGTACGCCGCCATCGTCACAAGAGGCGCCTGGCGACAAGCAAGCTAGTAACCAATACCTACGTACTTACTTCTCCACCGGTGCTCTGCCGCGAGCTTCTCCTTTATCATGAATGAAACACAACAGTGGTGACGACGACGAAGACAACCTCCGCGTCCGGAGGAGAAAAACGCGTGCATATAAGCGCTGCTTGGTTGACATCTAAAATTTATCGTATCAAAGATTTGATAAGCTAAAAGTTAGGTAAAAATATTGTCATAGATTTAACAAGCCAAATATAAAAACTTAGGAAGTTTTAGTAGCAAATCAAATACTAGTCAAAATTATAGCGTGCTAATAATAAATTTTAGAAGCGAACCAATCGAATCCTTACACGCAGACTTCTATGTCGGTAAGGTTACTGAATTTTTTATATTTTAGCCATTTTTTGAAAGTTTCTCACAAATAGACCCTTGACGGAAAGAATTCAAGAAATGAATCCTTAGCTCGGCGCCATTCATCTTTGGCGCCGAGAGCTAATATCTCGGCGCCTTGGCGTCCACAGTGTCGAGCTCACAGGATCGAAGATGACATGGCAGAGAGCTCGGCGCTAATCACTCTGGCGCTAAGTTCGGCGTCGTAGATCTTAGCGCCGAGCTCGGCGCCAGAGTGACTGGCGTCGAGCCTTTATTACCTATGGGCCCCGCGCCTCTCTTCCTCTCCCTCTCCCTCTCCCTCTCTCGCCTTAGCAGAGCAGAGCCGCCACTGCCCGCGCCCACGCCTCCACCGGCCGTCATAATGAAAACAAACACAATAAAAAGTTCAATACTGTGCCACATTAAACAACATAATAATACTAGAAGTACGTGTTGACAGTACACATAGGGGCAAATGCACTTCCAAATCCTCAGTCAGAAACATACTGAGTAAGCAACTCATAATCTGAGTACCACTCCTCTAATACAACCCTGTTGCTGTGGCTAGGCTCACCTACGTTGCTTTGACCTGCCTGTCGCCTGTAGTAAGCGGCCTCCGCTTCATCTACGGCCGCTATGGCCTGAGTGAAGAACGTGTCGTCATCCTCCTCCGCCTGTAAGCCTGCCTCTGCTAGACCGATGAGCTCGCTCAGTCTGTTAGTGTCTTCCTCAGCCTCCTCCGTCTGCAAGCCCGTCTCTGCTAGAGTGATGGGCTCGCTCAATCTGCCAGTATCGTCCTCAGCCTTCTGTGCCTGCAAGCCCGCATCTGCTAGAGCAATGAGCTTACTTAGTCTGTCAGTGTCGTCCTCATCCTCGTCCCCCTCATCAGACAACACAATCGGTGATTGAACGGTGCGACCACCTCGCGATCAATGCTCATCTAAATTCTTCTCCTCATACCTTGCACGAGTCCGCTCCGTGGCATGTTCCTCGCTGTAACCAATCCCTTCATGTATGAAATGCAATCAGTTAGCAACGCGATTATATTACATTTAATATCACACTCACCACTAATAAGACATCACAAGTGAGACCATCACTACTAGATGAGGTGAAAGTGGAAGTACTACAAGAAGGATTAGTAGAAGGAACAATGATAGGCATAGATAGTGATTCATCAATTATATCACAAGTTAAACCTACATTACAAGTTTCAACATGCTTCTTTTTATTTTGCTCATCAAGCAAAGAGGAATGAGCCTTTTCAAGCTTTTTATGAGCTTTTCCAAGCTTCTCATTGGCTTTCTCTAGCATCTCATGAAATGCATTGAGCTCATCAAAGGCTTGCTTAAGAGCTTTTAGTTCCTTACGCAAGCTTTTGTATTCCCTTCTCTTGATATCAAAGTGTTCTCTAGCATCTTCTAGCATGTCAATTAATTCATCCTTAGTAGGTTCATCATCATCACTATCACTATCATTTTTATTTTTATTTTCGTTATCATCATCATGTTCTTCATCACTTTCATCATCACAAGTTTGTACCTTAGTGGCCTTAGCCATGAAGCATGATGAAGAGTCGAAGAGGGAAGGTTTCTCATTGATAGCAATGCTTGCTAGAACCTTCTTCTTGGTGGTCTTGCTATCATCACTATCGTCATCATCATCACTTGAGGAAGCATCACTATCCCAAGTGACTATATATGAACCACCCTTCTTCTTCTTGAAGGTCATCTTGTCACTATTGTATAGACATTGAGCAACAAGATGATCTTTGCTTCCACACTTGAAGCACCTTCTTGACTCTTCTTTGTTCTTGGATGAAGACTTCTTTCTTCTAGCACGGTACCCTTTCTTCATTATGAACTTGCCAAATTTCTTGACAAAGAGAGTCATCTTCTCATCATCCATCTCATCAAATGAATTATCATCTTCACTTGATGTTTCTTGCTTTGCCTTGCCCTTAGATGATGTGGCCTTGAATGCCACTCTTCTTCTTCTCATATTTCTTCTCCTTCCTTTCTTCCTTCTCATCATCATATATGTATCATCGGTCATTATATCTCCCAACACTTGGTTCGGTGTTATGGTGTCCAAACCACTCCTCACTAGAATAGTGACCAATGTACCAAATCTTGAAGGTAAACATCTCAAAAACTTGTGGGAGAAGTCCTTGTCCTTCACCTCTTCTCCAAGTGCTTTGAGATCATTGACAAGCACTTGAAGCCTATGAAACATCTCCGACACACTCTCATCCTCCTTCATCTTGAAGCTTGCAAATTTTTCTTTAAAAATGTATGTCTTTGCACCCTTCACGGCTTAAGTGCCCTCGAATGATTCTTCTAACTTCTTCTAAGCCTCATGAGCCATCTCAATATTCTTGATTTGCTCAAATGTTCTCTCATCAATTGCATCATGAATAGCACTTAGAGCAATGTCATTATTTTGGAGAAGCACTTCTTCGACCGCGGTGGGATTCTCCGGATCTTCAATCTCAATTTTGGTTTCTACTACCATTCACACTTTTCTATTAATTGACTTGATATGTGTGGTCATCTTTGATTTCCAATAAGGATAATTTGTGCCATCAAATTGGGGTGGCTTCTTGGTGTTGTTGATTTGAACTATTTTTACACCGAAGGTTGTTAAGCCTCAAATCACGGTGACCTCAGCTCTGATACCACTTGAAAGGTCCTAATGGCTAGAGGGAGGTGAATAGCCTAATAAAATTTCTACAACAACACTTAACCAAATGGTTAGACAATTATGAGGCGAAGCAAGTGTTGCGCTAGCCTACTCAAAGTGCAAGCCACCTACCATAATTCTAGTTTAGATAGTATCTATTCACACAATAGCTATGACACAATCCTATGTTAGTGTGCTCTCAAAGGCTAACTAAAGAGCCACACCAACCAAGCAAGCAAGCTCTCACAACTAGCTACACTAAAGAGCTTGACAACTAGTTTGCGGTAATATAAAGAGAGTGATCAAGAAAGTTATACCACCGTGTCATAGATTTAACAAGCCAAATGTGAAAACTTAGTAAGTTTTAGTAGCAAACCAAATACTAGTCAAAATCATAGCGTGCCAATAACAAATTTTAGAAGCGAACCAATCGAACCCTTACACGCAGACTCCTATGTCGGTAAGGTTACTGAATTTTTTATATTTTAGCCCTTTTTTGGAAGTTTCTCACAAATAGACCCCTGGCGGAAAGAATTCAAGAAATAGAC